CAGAAAGTGCGAGAGATTGCAAGGCATGCAAGTGTTGGACCAGATCTTGACCATTGCCAAGGCATGTTAGGGCAGACGGACCGAATTGGACGTGCCCTACGCGATGCTACGAATAGAGAGCGAGAGATTGATGGATAGAACGAAAGAGCGATAGAGCGAGACAGAAAAGTAAAGGAGAAAGGCGCGAGACGAAGAGACGAAACAACGGTTCCATAGGCTATTACAGTGAGTAATGATAAGCGGTTACAATATTTATATGCAGTGGGCAATGCAAATAGCAAACAAAGGTGGAATTACGTTATTTTGCGCCACTGGCTATTATTTGCGGAATTTGTTGTGGAATTTCAGGCTGGGAAACCAGACAGCCACCAAATTAATTTTTCGGTTTTTTTTGTCAGTTAGAAAAACTATTCTAATTTTTTCACGTAGAACGTCCGCACATCCATCCTCGCTAACATTTCTCAATATGTCAGCAAATAATGATCAGGCAATTGCCGATCTTTTTGCCAAATTTTTCCAAACAACCTATTCTCATAAAGCTACTCTGGTCAGCCGTATCCATACAGTTTACCAAGGCCGAACGGCATTTTCAGCCCCTTGTTAAATTTCAGCTCACTGCTTCATGATCTTCGACTAGTTAGGCCGGTGCTTTTCACAAGGTCCTGACGGAGTTCCCGGTTGTGTACTTAGGTACTGTGCCGAAGCTCTGTGTAGACCCTTGCTTAAACTATTCACCCTATCCATTAACTTTTCATGCTTCCCCCCATCTGGAAGGAATCTTTTATTATTCCGCTCCATAAGAAAGGTAGCAAGTCTGATGCAAATATATTTATAGAGGTATATCTAAGTTACCCGCTATTCCTAAAATGTTTGAAAAAATTTTAACTCCGCACTTGCAACATCTCTGCAAATCACTTAGATCTCCATCACAGCACGGATTTATAAGGCGACGATCAACAACAACAAATTTTTTTAGAGTTTACCTCCTTTATCATTAAAAGCTTCCAAGGTAACTTGCAGACCGATGTTATTTACACTGATTTCAGTGCAGAATTTGATTCTGTAAACCATTCCCTTTTAGCACAAAAACTTGACCTTTCCACCTAATCTTTTGAGATGGATTTTTAGCTACCTTCCTTCTAGGTCTCAAAGACTACTCTTCAAAAACTCCTTCTCTTCACCTGTTAAGGTTACTTCTGGAGTACCACAGGGCAGCCATCTAGGCCCCCTACTATTCACACTCTTTATAAATGTCCTGCCTTCAATATTAACAAACTCTCGAGTACTCACGTATGCGGATGATGTTAAACTCTGTGTCCAGTATAAGCACATTTTATTTCATTCTCGCTTGCAATCCGATCTCAATAATTTTCAGTCATGGTGTTGTGCAAATATGTTACACCTAAATGCCTCGAAATGCAAAGTATTGACATTTCATCGCTCCAGCCCTTTTTTGGCTCCTTATAGCCTGTGCGGTGGTTCTCTTGAGAGAATTACCTTGGTTGATGATCTTGGTGTTAAACTAGACCCCAAGTTAAAGTTTTCTGAACACATTTCTACCATGGTAAATAAGGCTATGCTTGGGTTTATAAACAGGTGGTCAAAGGAATTTGACGACCCCTATATAACGAAGACTCTCTATATCGCGCTTGTTCGTCCGATTTTAGAGTACGGCTCTTGTGTATGGTGCCCCCAGTACAAAGTACACCAGGACCGTATAGAATCAGTCCAGAAAAACTTTTTACTTTTTGCTCTGCGTGGCCTTAACTGGGATGCAGGTGTGAGACGGCCATCTTACCCTCGTAGATTGCTTTTAATAAACCTTCCAACCTTAGTTAGTCGTAGAAAAATGCTTGGTGTGATTTTTATGCACAACCTGATCAAGGGTGACGTAGATAGCCTTGACTTGTTGAGCCGCATAAACTTTACGATTCCTATTAGATCTACTAGAAACTTCATTCCTTTGTTCCTTTCGCTTTGTAGATCGAATTATTCCTTGCACGAACCATTTAGGGTACTTTGCTCGGACTTCAATTCCCTCTACCACATAATATGAACAACTAATTCCCTTCCTCTTCTTAAATCACTAATACTAACATACCTTTCCCGTAATTAGTTTTATTTCTTAGCTATCTTTGCATGTTTAGCTCTTTGAGTTCTTTGAGTCTTCCTCTTCTTAAATCACTAATACTAACATACCTTTCCCGTAATTAGTTATATTTCTTAGCTATCTTTGCATGTTTAGCTCTTTGAGTTGTGTTTAGCTCTAATTTTCCTCGAATTTTAGTCTAACACCTATCTTTCCTGCATGCTCGCGATCGGTTCGGTAACACGCGTCGCGCGTCATGCGGCAGCGCCCCTCGGTCGGTTGGGCGGGAAAGGGCTGCGTTTCTGCCTGGGTTCCGCGCGTAACAGGCTTCGGCTTGGTGTCGCATGGGCCACTTGATGGTGCAGTCACTTCATATCAATGTTCGGAAAGAGAAAAACATGCACTTACCGTACTGTTATGCGCGAAATTTACTGCTGTTATACCAACGCGTTAGTACCAGCTCATATAGAAAGGTCTCTGTTATGTTTAACAGAGATTTACCGATAACCAAAACGGGCTGCCACAGCTGTTCGGAGGAATTCACTATTTGTTGTTGACCTGACCAATATTTTCAGATCTAATATTAGAGTTGGCTTAAATAAAAATTATTTATAAAAAGGGCAAAAGCCCAAATTCATTTCAATGCATCTATAAGTCATCCATTTTTTTCTTTTGCAATTAAGATTCGTTTTTTTGTATAACAAGAAGTACATTACTTTTCGGCGAGAAATATGTTGCCGTTTTGAAAAAGGAAAAGTCTTGTGTTTCACGAATTCGTTTTGAGAAGTAAATCACATTTTTTTGATAAAAGTGCAAACCGGAGAATGAATATATTTTTTATTTTCTTTAATTTTTTTTCGCTGAGTTAGTTTTTATCAATTAATTGAGTGAAAACATGAATGCAGAACGCTTTAACTTTATTTCCTTGCTCAGTTTCCTTGCTACATATCGCGAAAAGGGTGATTCTCGACACTGACATGTTACCTATAAAATTAAATAAATCAATGTACATCTGCGTAGTCGCCAGAAATTTTTACATAGACGATTCAAAAATACTTGTTTCATAAACACAGAAAGATTAAGGCGGAAATGGAGAGTGATCATAAGTTCTATTGCACGCAAGTCTCGGGTATGTAAATAAAAACACTCTAAAGGAAATGTTAAGTTCTACAACGATTTACTACTAATACATATAAGCACAGGACGCACACATATATTTTTTATTGAATCTTTAGTATGTATTACATAGCACCTGTGACCAATATGAACAGTTATTGAAATTAAACTCTCAGAACATTAATTTTTACTCATCTTTACCAAAAGGTTTGGCCGTCAGCCATTCGGGTGATACAGGGGGACTAACGGATTAAGGGCTGTCTCGCTATAACTGGACCCTTGCACTAGGGCTAGGAGCGTTTCGGGTCAGGGCTTGCGCTGATCCGCTGCGGCCTTGCTACTGGCTTCTTGGATGCGGGGGGATCATGAGCGACCCGTCACCCGCCATAACTGTACACACCAATGGAAGTGCGACTATACTCTCCTCGTGGGGGCGGCTGGAAACAGGTCCTGGTATGGTCAAGTCTCTGCCACGGATGGGCGGAGAGAAGAAAACTCTCGTTGCGAAACTACCCCAATCCACGGTGAAACACGATATGCTAATGGATGCGTGGACGAGGGGGAGCTTTGTGCTGTATATGCGAACTCTGGATACCTGACGACCTACATGCCAAGTGTTAAAAATTAAAAGGAGCTCGCGAATCCGTGATAATCCGTCTAAAACGGAACTAGTACTCTTCACCAGGAAGTACAAGATTCCGAAACTGACTCCCCCAAAACTCTGTGGGGAAGCGCTAGTTTTGGCAATAATGCAAAGTATCTTGGTCTGATCCTCGATAGAAAGCTCGATTGGAAACTGAGCATAGAGGATAGGGTAAAAAAGGCCACTGTGGCCCTCTATACCTGCAGAAAAACCATCGGACTAAAATGGGGAATGACCCCGTATATAGTCCGGTGGCTATATACCGCCATCATACGACCAATCCTAATGTACAGAGTGGACACTCAGAAATCTTGACGAGACTCCCGAAACTATCTCGACGCCCTTCCAGGTATCAATCCCACTCAGGGAAGACTGGGAGAGGGGCGAACCTGGACCCGCAAATGCGATCCACATATACACTAATGGCTCAAAGTTAGACGGCCGTGTGGGTGGTGGCATCTGCTGTAACGAGCACAACGTTAGTCATTGTTTTAGACTCCCGGACTACTGTAGTGTGTTCCAAGCGGAGGTTGAAGCAATAAAAAAGGCTATTTCTATCGTCTCCAAGCTTTCTTTAGACAGACACTCAGTGTGCGTTTTCTCAGACAGCCAAGCAGCTCTCAGAGCACTTGGCTCAATATCGTCCAACTCGACGACTGTTAACATATGCCGCAAGTCTCTTCATGAGACCGCAGAGCATTTAGATCTCTCCCTAACATGGGTCCCCGGACACAGGAATGATGCTGCCGACGAACTAGCAAGGTGTACTACCACACCTCTCCTACCGGAGAAGAAGCAAGTAGCGATGCCTTTGGCTACGTGTAGGTTACTAACGCACGAAGCCTTCGAGCTAATTGTCGAAAGACGATGGCAGCAAACCATCACCTGTAAAACTTCCAGGGCGATCTGACTAAGTCGATCGAAGAAACGCTCGGAAGAGCTCTACAAACTCAGCAGAGTACAGTGCCCTACCGTCATCCGAGTCATCACGGGACACTGGCAGATCGGCACACATGCTGCCAGACACCCAACGCTGACTGTCTTGGCCCCTGCAGAAGCCCTAGTCAATCCGTTCGACTTTAGCGGCGAGACTGGTGAGAGAAGCACTACGGGGACGGAGGTAGCCGCAGACCTGCGACAGAACTATCAAAGATGTTGAAGGACGCTAGGTACCTAAACAAGGACATGAAGGTGCAGAAGGCGCAGAAGGTGCTGAGGCTGCAAAAGTTCGCACTTTTCAGTTTCGACGCTAATTCCCGCACGAATGAAAAGGAGGGGCAGAAGGACCAGGAGACACAGTGGTCACCAAAACAGGCCGAATCCAAAATGGATAGGCCAGCGAGGAGCAAGCCTAAACATAAAAAAAGGACCCGCAGGTCAACTCCCAGAGCAAGCTAACCTAAGGTCTGCTAGGCGGACGGAGACAGTCCCACCAGCTAATGAGTGGACGGAAGTCAAGGGCAGGACACGGGGTCGACAGCTGCGGCCGCGTGCAGATGCCATCATTATTGAGCCGAAGGACAAGATGTCGTACGCTAACGTTTTAATCCTGGTAACGCGCAGTCAAAACGAGTAAATTGCACAGCCAAAGTGGCACTGTTGCTGGAGCTTAACGGCGCAGCCTTGGAGAACACCCAGCAGATAAGGGATAACATAAGCGAAGCCTTGCAAGGGAAGGTGGAGGCGAGAGCACTCACCCAACAGACGAGGCTGGAAGTGTCGGATCTGGATGAGATGGCCACTGTAGAAGATCTCCAACACGCCTTTAAAGATCAAATCCGAGTCACGCTTGATGAGGCAGACATAAAAAACCTGCGTCCAGCGTTTGGTGGCACGCAGCGCGCCATTATCAGCCTCACGGCAATCAGGGCTACAAAGGTCCTTTCCGTGGGAAAGATCAAAGTTGCCTGGTCAGTTTGCCGCATTCGGGAGCGAAACCTTCCCACCAGATGCTTTAGGTGCTTGGAGCAAGGCCATATAGCAGCAAACTGCCGCAGTTCAAAGGACAGAAGCGGATGGTGTTTCCGATGTGGAGCTGACGACCTCAAAATCCGAAACTGCCATAAGGAAGCGAGGCGCTTTCATTGCGCCGGGAACGGAAAGCCGCACAACCACATCGCTGGAAGTCAGAGATGCCCAATGGCATCAAAAGCGAACGGAAGGATGAAAAACAACGGTCATGATTAGATGCTACCAGATCAATCTGAACCACTGCGAGGTTGCCACAGACTTACTCAGTCAGTGCGCGACCTGAGGACGGATTTTTGTATCATAAGTGAGCCATATAGATCCCCAGCAGATGGATGTTGGGTCCACAGCTCGACGGGGAAAGCGGCGATTTGGTCCTGCCGCATACCATGCATTCGGCCAACAATATGCGCAGAGCATAGACATTTTGTTCGGGCGAAATTTGCGGGCCTCTGGATCTATAGCTGCTACTTACCACCTAGCCTGAGTCACCAAAGTTTCGAAGCAGCAATAGATGATCTAGTTGACGATGCCAGGGACCACAAGCCTGCTATAATAGCAGGTGATTTCAACGCGTGGGCTCAGAAGTGGGGTAGCGACATCTCAAAAACCAGCAGTTCGGATGCCATAGCAAAGGGACAGGCCCTTCTGGAGGCCTTCGCGACGCTGGACGTTGTATTGCTGAATCAGGGCTCAGCAAACACGTTCAATCGGGGAGGTGCAGGATCGGTCATCGATCTCATCTTCGTCACGAGCTCTCTCTCCCCTCAGGCCAAATGGTGTTTGGGAAACCATTACACTGCCAGCGACCATGAGGCACTGGTGTTCTCGATAGGCGGCGGATCTGGAAGAACCCAGAACCAGACCGAGCAGAGGCTAGCATACAAAGGAAACACACTTCGCGTTCCGGTGTTTTTGGAGGCGATGAGCGGAGTTTCGGTAGAAGGCTCAGCGCAGCAGATGGCCAACCAGCTGTCAGAACAGCTTCTGCTCGCATGCGACGCCAGCATGACTCGAAGGAAGAAGTTCGGTGGCAAGCAGTCGCCGGCCTATTGGTGGAGTGACGAGATAGCGGAGGCGAGGCGCACCTGCCTGTCTGACAGAAGGAGCTACCAGAGAGCACGCAGACGCAGTGACAGCGATTGGCCGGGACTTCACCAAGCACCGAGCATGACCCATGGGGAAAAGCATACAAGATGGTGATGAAGCGGTTAAACGCCAGTAACGCAGAAGCGCCCTCTGACCCACATCAACTCAGGGCTATCATCGAGGCGCTGTTCGCTACCTGCGCAACCAACCGCGCTCCAGGAGTCCACGAGATCCAGCCACCACACGATGTGAAGCCAGTAGCGACCGAGGAGCTTTTATCCGCATCGCGAAAGATGAAGCCGAACAAGGCTCCTGGCCCGGATGGAATCCCCAACAGGGCGGTAAAGCTGGCCATATCGCTCAAGCCGGACGAGTTCGCTTGCGCATACACGCAGTGTCTCCGCGAAGGTATCCTCCCAAGACAGTGGAAGACCCAGCACCTGGTGCTCATACCAAAGCCAGGAAAGCCACCAGACGACCGTTCCTCATATCGACCGATATGCTTGATCGATTGATTGGGGAAGACGCTGGAGCAAATTATCTGCTCAAGGCTGAAGAGGGCGCTGGAAGAGTCCGGAGCGCTTTCGGAAAACCAGTTCGGCTTCCGAAAAGGCTTTTCGACGGTGGACACCATAGGCAGGGTGGTCCGTATCGCATCCGAGGCCGTAGAAGGAACTCGCTGGAAGGGTGGCAAGAAGGAATATTGCCTAATAGTCACCCTAGACATCAAGAACGCCTTCAACTCGGTGAAGTGGGACTGCATCACGACTGCTCTGAGCCAGCGGGGCATTCCCAGATACCTCCAGGCGATAGTGAGGAGATATTTCGAGGAAAGGATCCTCAACTTTGGCACGGCGACAGGGGCTCAATTCCACCCCATCTCGGCAGGAGTCCCCCAAGGGTCGGTGACGGGCCCACTATTGTGGAACATAGTCTACGACGGAGTGATGCGGCTTACATTGCCGACTGGATGCCAGCTGACGACGTGGCACTCTCAGTGGTGGCCAAACACCTGCATGCGGCAGAAGAAGCTTGCAACACGGCCATACGGCTGTTAGCGGATTGGCTTCTGTCTGCCGGGCTGGAGTTAGCGGCTCCCAAGACAGAGGCAGTCCTAGTCAGCAGCCGATCGATTGTGGAGACAGCGCACGTCCGAATTGGAGACCAGACGATAGCGTCAAAGAGAGCCATCCGCTACCTTGGGGTGATGATGGACACCAGGCTCTGCTTCCGGGAGCACCTAAGCTATGTGCAGGAGAAAGCGGCTAACACGAGTCGAGCCCTTTTTCGACTGCTTCTAAACACCCGCGGACCGAAGCAGGAGAGAAGGCTGCTGCTGACAAGCGTTGTCCGTTCTGCCATCACATACGCTGCAGCAGTGTGGGCGGACGGCGTTAAAGTCGCCAGCTACGCCAGGGGCATTAAGTCCATCCACCGGCTCTGCGCGATCCGGATCTGTTGTGGGTTTCGGACCATCTCGGATGACGCAGCGCTTGTCATTGCAGGATTATTCCCCATCGACATCCAAATCATCGAGGAGAGGAACGTGGCATTGGCTACCCGTGCAGGCGTCGACCGAAAGGCGGCGCGAGAGCAGGCTAGAGAAGAGAGCATCAGAGCCTGGCAAAGCCGCTGGAACAACGCTGAAAAAGGCCGGTGGACCCACCACCAAGAAATTTGTGATTTATATGATTCCATGAAATTTGATCGTGTAATAGTTAGTTTTAGCTTTCTTAATGCTATTCTGCACTTTGTGTGTCGCTTCCTTAAACGTGGCGTAGTGATGACTTGTCTTGTATCGTTTCCATCTCTCATATGCAACATTTCGAGCATTTATTAGCAATTTTATATTGTCAGAAAACCAGGGCTTCAAAGACGGCCTAATAAAGCGCGATTTAGTTGGTACTAATTTGTGGTAGAGGTGCGTTGTTCGTTCACTGAGGTTGTTGCAAGGATTATATTCCAGTCAAGTTGGTCACATTCAGCACTTAACGAAACATAGTCAATATTTGTAAAGTTCCTGTATTATATATATTCGTCACTGTTTTCGGAATAAACATCATACGTCAGAAATATTTAGTCATGTCTAGAGAATACTGGAACAGAAATTTGTTCATATAATAAAATACTTTGACGATCACTAACAAAAAATACGTCAAGCAGGGTGTCAGTACTTTGTGAGAAGGGAGTTGGATAGTCAGAGTTTGCAGCATGCAGACCTTCGCTTACAAATTGTTTTTTAACTGGTGCTCATTCAGCATGTCGCTATTTAAGTCACCGGTGGTTACTACATTGCATACAAGGACAAAAGCTCTTGCATGCTACTAATGCGGAGCGGAGCGGAGCGGCACGTAAATACTGCGGTGAGCTTTTGTTGCCTCTTCCCTTTCATTGCTTCTTTGAAAATTTCATATTGAGCTTTTGTAAGTTGCTCGCTAACATAGAATGGCACGTGGGAATCAAAACCCAGCAGCTGTAAGCTGTGGCTGTGGCTGTTCTCCGATAGGCCCCAATTTTTCGAAGCAGTGCAACAATATCAACAATATTGCCGTTCGATGCGTGCTGTAGTATGCATACATAGCCAATACCCACTGTACCAAGTGTACTTAAGGGGAACACACTGTAACACTTTGTTGCAGTGTTTTTGTAATTAAAAGTCCCAGACATAACTTGAGCTATCGTATTGCGATCGCCCAAGAATGTCTCTAGCGACATAAGTGCAGCGTCAACATATTCCCATGACTTGACGGCACATGCATACACACATACATATACATCTTCCCTCGTGCCCTCGCTGTCAGCAGCGCTTGGCATATACACATACATATACACATAAACATATATAGCGGCCACTCCGCTGCCGGCGTTTCTGGCAGCGCAGCTGCGCGGCTTTAGCCAAGTAGATCCTATGATATATTTCATTTATACATTCAATAAGGGAGTTTCAAAACAGACGGATGTCTGACCCAATTATCTTTAACCCCCGAACAAAAGAACCTTTCAATTACAGTGCACTCGGAAGTCAGCTGCGACCACATCTATTGCATGCACCTCCAGCTACTGCTGTTCGAGTTTGACAATTATATGGGGTCGACTACGGAATATGATTTTTAGTTTCGGTGCTGGTGGTAGATTAAGTGCATATGGTGTTAAAAAGTGCCTTCAGGTTTTCGTTTTAAGTGCAGGCAACCCCGTGCACTCGAAGCTTAGAGGCTTACGCGGCAATGGCATGCGCTACTTGATTTGCCTCAAGCTTTGCGTCGAGTTCACCAGCTGTCCTTAGCAGTAACTAACAGAGCAGGCGCAGCTGCGACGCCAGCAATACGAAAAGTAAGACGCTCCCGCATTCGTAAATCGTAAGACTTTTCCGTTTTCAAAACGGCAACATTTCTCTCGCCGAAACGAAAAGTTAACGGCTTTTACACAACAAAACAAATCTTAATTGCAAGAGGAAAACAATAGATGATTTATTGATGCATTGACATGAATTTGAAAACAATACCATGGTGGTTAAGCTTGTGCCCCATTTATAAATAATTTTTTTTTAACCCAACCCCAAAATTGGATTTGTAAAAATTGGTCTGCGCAACAACAAATAGTCAATTCCTCCGAACAGCTGTGGCATCATCAAAATGTGATTCCCATCCCCTTCCCCAATTACACTACTCGACAACATCGAACTTTTTTTTCCTCAAGGATCCAAACCGACTTTTTCTGATAGATATGGGGCTTTAAAATGTTGTAAAGAATTATGGTTTTTTTTCTATGGCAGAACTTTTTTTTGAAGGATTTGAAGTTCGATTTTGTCGAGTAGTGTAATAAGTGTTGTGATCTTTTCCAACACACACAGCCACCAAGTCAGTTTCTGCTGCAGCGCTGCTCCCAGCTCAACTGAAAAGCCAACTGGACGCATATATTTCTCTCGCTCTGACTGCAGGCATTTCACATAGGGCTATTTCCATTTTTTCAGCTAGTCGGTTAGTAAAGTCTAATTTCATAGCATCATAACTGAATAACTTAAATAATAGAGATACGGACAGGCTCCGGTTTTCATTTTCACAAAAAAATGTGATTTACTTTTGAAAACGAAAAGTCAGGCGCTCCCGCACTCGTAAAGCGCAAGACTTTTCCGTTTTTAAAACGGCAAAAAAATCTCCGCCGAAATGAAAAGTAAACGGCTTTTTACAAACTAAACAAATCTTTATTGCAAAAGGAAAAGCACTTAATGATGCATTGACATGAATTTGACACCATTACCAGTAAAAATTGAGCTTGTGCCCTTTTTATACCCGTACTCAAAAAAAAGTTCTACGATTAAGATTTAAACATCAAACCGTATGGTTAGACCTAAATTTATGTTTGTTATTAGGTAGTAAGAATTCTCAGCAACCTAAATAAATATTCTCAAACTAATCCAATAAATATGAGATATGCACCGCTGACCTAAATAAATATCCAAAAGACAGCTGGATGCACGTGCATGCACATGCATGCACATCATCTTTTTATATTGATAATACAGTCATAAATTACATTCGAGATGATCTGCAGTGGTAAAATGTCATACCATCTGCATGATAATCGTTTACGACAGTCATACAATTATCTTAGACCTGACCCACGGACCTTTGGACCCTGAACTATGCAGTGAAATTTGTAATCATTGTTAAGTCATAAATAAATGTAGCATTTTTTCATACCTACTTATACTTAGAACTAATTAAACAAGCCTATGATCCTAAGTAAACAGAAACTGTACTAATAGAAACTGTATATATACCTCGCATTTTACCAAATAAAATCAGTACGAAACAAAACTCTGACGTATTCACATCTCCGAAGCCCAATTTGTTCAAGTACCGATTGCGGCGACATTTTGTTACTGGTACATGAACCGGTGGCATACACATTTATATTTCAGCATACGATTTTCATATTGACAATCACCAGAACCAAGTGAATCTACATCAACAGATTCATTTGATTCGTACATTTGGTGACCCCCGACTTTTGGACATTTAACCGTTCATCTGGAGTATTGTTCACGATTTGGAATTTGGATTTATTTGAAAAATCCTACATAATTGGTCAACTTGGCGTCCAATTTACATACATACATCATCAATCACAGTTGTGATTACTCATTACCTTGTGTGAAGGAAAACTAGTTTGATTTATTTAAACCGATACAGTCAACTTTGCGACTACGGTTGGAAATTACCTCCATCGGGTCAAAGTAGTACGACAAATAATAAAAAAATGGCATCATCAAGCATTAATGTTGTGATGGACAGGCAATTGGCCACGAGCGAAGAGATCCAAAACATCATCAGGAACTACAAAAAGGATCCCGCTGAAAGGAATCAGAAGCCTGAATATTTTCAAATCCGACTTGAGAGGTTAATGAATCTCTGGAACACATTTTCAATGGAAGACACAAACATTCAAGAAATAACTCATGGCTCGAAATATGAGCACAATTATTTCTCTAATAAATATTTTAAAAGTATCAAAGAATTGGTCAGCAAATACAACGACGAGTTGACCAAACAATTGTCTTCTTTGGAAATGGAGATAGATTCTGGATCTATTACCTCTATGGAGAATGAGTCCGAAATTGAGCCCATGATCCGAGAACAAAGGGTGCTGCTTGAAAGTCTACAGCGCATTATGAACAGAATAACAACTGAGAAGCGAAAGGATTTCAAACCAATAATCATAAAATATTGGGATGAGATTAGAACGATTCATGTCAAAATACATTCCAAATGCATCGATCCTGTGAAAATGGGATATAACATCAACAGTTATATTGCAGCTGAAGATGTAGTATTAACAATACAAACAATGACTGTATCAGACCCTGTTCAGCCATTTATCCCTGCTCCACATATGCATAATGCATTACCCGTGCCAAAGGTTGCAATCCCCAAATTTGATGGAGACTACCTAAAGTGGCAACAATTTCATGACATTTTTAAGAAAATGATTCATGAAGCATCTGTACCCGTCATTCAAAAGATGTGGTATTTAAAGACTAATGTTACGGGAGAGGCAGAAAATTGAATACGCCACCTTTCGTGAACAGAAGGAAATTACATCACAGCATGGAATATATTACAAGAGCGTTTCAGCAACAAGAGAGTGCTCAGTAACGCATTGATTCAAAAATTATTGGATCAACCAAACATATCAAATGATGCCAAATCAATTAAGGCATTACACGATATCATCAAAGAAACTTTAGCAGCGCTAAATAACATCGACATAGAAACAGATAAATGGGATACACTTCTTCTATGTTTTCTGACGAAAAAATTAGATCGTCAAACTCATACGTTGTATGAGCAGTCCATACAAAATACTAAGGAATTACAGCCTTTGAGCGAATTCAGGAAATTCCTCGAGCAAAGGTTCCTGAAAGTCAGTATTTCTGTTATTTTTGTGAAAAGCCAAATCACGCTATCTATAAATGCACACAGTTTTTAAAGAAAACTTCTGCAGATAGATTAAATTGGGTTCAAAAGAACCAACTGTGCGTCAAATGTTTCAAACGCGATCACACAGCAAAAAATTGCCAAACAAGAAATTGTTTTAAATGCAACAAAGGGCACAACACTCTTCTCCATTTGGAAACTAAGTCCGAAGCCAAAACTGCAGCATCAGCAAATAGTATACAAAATAATTATGTACTATTGGCTACCGCTCGAGTTCATATCCAA